GGCTGCTCCCTCCCAGCCCTGCTCTCCCGCAGGAGACCCAGGTCGGGCACCTGGTGGAGGCCGGGTTCAAGAAGGAGAACATCAGCACGACGGTGATGGACCTGGTCCCCCCCGCGGACTGCAGGTACTACTCCTTCCACAAGATGATCACACCCGCAGTCCTGAAGCACTGAGGGAGCCCCGAGGCCGCAGGAAGCAACCGCTGAGGAGGGGAGGCTGATGATGCGGGCTGTGAGGAGGAGGAGGAGGAGGAGGAAAGCTCTTATCTCCTTCGATGCTAATGAGGAAAGGTTGAAGCTGATTTATCTGGAGGCAGGGGATGGCTGGAGGCTTGGGAGGGAAGTCCTGGGGCTCCAGGGGACCTCCTGGATAAAAGGCCGATGTCACCCAGCCCTGGAGGGGTCTTCTGGGCTCTGCGGGTGGAAGGTCCCACCCTGGGTCTGTCCCAGGGGCCAGTTTCCACTCAAGACTCGCCCTTGTCTCCAAATACCTCAATTAAGCTGCAATTCAGGAGCCCGGCCCGGAGCCTTTAGCCAAAGGGGTTCAAGGATGAGACATTTCCTCTGAAACGGGATCATTTTTAGACATCTTGGTGTGGCTTTTCCACACACAACAATCTAAACCAGGCGGGAGAAATGGGGAAGAGGGGGCAGCTGGAGGCGTTTTGGCTGCTCCTGGAGCAACTCCCCGGCAAAGTTCCCCAATACCTTTGGCTAAAGCCCCTCACAGCAAGTCCTGACCCCCACAACCTCCTTGCAGTTCAGCAGCGCATCAATGACGTTTCCTTTCTCTACCCAGAAGGGCTAAAAGCCATTAAAAAGGAATGAAATGCACAACTGCTGTTTCAGAGCGATTCGTTTGTCTTTCCAAAGCGTGTGTCTCTGCCGTGACTGTTCTGAGCTGCCGGAGAAGCCCACGCCCGGGCCGCATCCAGCAGCAAAGCCCACCCCGGGCTGCTTTACTCCTGCTGCGCTCGGGGGTGCTGCAGCGTTCACCTCTATGGGTCATATTCTGATTTAAAGCACGAAGATTTTACTCACATTATAGAACCGTAATGCATTTCTGTGCACTAGATATAAAGGATTTATTAGATCCTCGGTAGGAATTATAACCAAAAAGCTGGGGGCGAGGAAGAGACGAGCTCGGGGAGGCCTCGGGGTTCACCTGGGTGTGCGCTGGTCTCAAAACTTCCTCACAAAGCCGGAGAGCAAGTCCCACGTGTCTGGCAAGGCACTTACGTCACGACGGATGACATCGAACATTCTCCTTCCCTCACAGGCTATTCAGGCCAGAACGCGCCGCGCTGAACGTTCCCAAACGCGGCTCCTGCTTTTTAATGCGGTTTTTAGGCAAGTTAAAACACTTGAGGGATACAGGAAAGACAGAAGAGCATCTTAACCAGGTAGAGTTTTATTGGAAGGCTTGTGAGAACCCCGATTCGTTGTGCGTACGAGTGCAAGCAGGTGCCCCCGGGGGGCGGCGAGTGGGTCATAAATAAGGGCTATTTCCTGTACCAGATCTGAATCCTCTTCTCCCGTTTGATCTTCTTCTGAAGCTGCAGGATGCCATAGAGCAAAGCTTCAGCGGTAGGTGGGCAACCTGGGAGAGAGAAAGAGGAAGCCCGTGGGGCTGCCAGCTGCACCGCAACGTGCCGGCAGGAGGAGGCCGACAAGCCCCGGGCTCTGCCCCACAGCAGGCTGTGCCGCCCCTGGGGCTCTGGGGACATCCCAGGCCGCAGAGTTCACAAAAGCAAGAGGCTGCTTTAGTTCAAAGAAACGAAAGCGGCCGTGTTTTCCAAAAAGGTCTTTAGGAAAGGCAGAAACGCTCGGCTTTCAAGCGGGGGGGTCTCTCACCGGAGAGGCTGTGGTTGGCGGAACTACAGCCCGTGCTTTACACGACAGTTACCGGCGGGTAACGGCACCAGAACAACCCCCCTCCCAGGCAGATCTCACCGGAGCATCTTCAGCAACACGGCTGGAAGCGGAAAGCTCCTCAGGAGCTGCACCAAGCACCACAGGTACAACACCCCCTCCACCCCGGCCTGCCGCCGGCCAGCGCCGCGGCACGCGCAGGTCGGCTTCCCTACCCGGCACGTAGATGTCCACGGGCACGATGCGGTCGCAGCCCCTCACCACGGAGTAGGAGTAGTGGTAGTAACCG